TTTTTTTTTTTTGCTGATTCATACAGAAGGTAGTTCTCTAGGCAGTGGGTAAGAAAGAATCCCAGGAACTGTGTTGCTTGTTCCCAGACGCACCCACTATATCTGTTTACATGGCCATCACAGACAGCTGATTGGGGCTGCCTTGCTAATCACGTTAATAACTATGAATGGAAGAAGCAGGCACTTTTCTTCCTAAGCTGAAAAGCTTTTTAATATGTTAACAGAATTTACATAAAAAGTCAAGATTTTCAACAGTGAAAGTGATTAAACTACCATACCAATAAGTTTTGATTACACATACAAGGACTATGAGACTGTGGAGCACGGAAATGTGGAACACTCTTCTTAAGAGATGAGAATCGCCCAAAGAGCATCCCATGAAATTTCTTTCCTACTATGTGAATTTGGCTCTGAGTGAGACTTGAGTTCACATTTCTCAGACCACCCACTGAAGAAGGCCCCAGCAGAAGGCTGTGAGTGAAGCATCCCTCCCTTTAGGGGATCATTTCCATCTTATCACTCCCTTTCTTAGAGTAGCCCTTAACTAGGTCTTTCATCTTGTCATGCCAGAAAATGACCCACTAGCTATCACCTACACTAGAGGAAGCTACCCTTGAGACCAAGACATGTCCATGTTCATCTTTGTAATTCAGAATACAGAGCAAGTCTAGTACTAGTAAATGTGCATTGGTACACTTGGTAAATGTGCACTGAATGACAGATTGAAGTGGTCACTTTTTAACCTTCCCAGGTAGGCCTCCAAACTCCAAATTTATTTCTTATTCTCCATCAAAACTCAATTGCCACATCTCTGCTATCAGCTTTAAGGGTTCACTAAGATCATCTGTTCTTCTGTCAGCTCCGCAGAACAGTAAATCTGCAATTTGTGCTGCTTCCTTGGGTTACTCCACCACCGGTCTCCCTGGGGGTCATCTCAGACAATCTCAGGTTTCAGCATTTTTTCTCCTCCATAGCCAATGGCCTCAAGCTTCAGGCCTCAGTCTCCGGGAATCTCTTCCACTTGGTCCCTGCCTTGACCTTTTCTTTTGCTACCAGCCTTGGGCCTGGGCCCTTAAGCTCCTCCTTGGCCTTGGCATCTACTGGTGGCCTGGGCATCAAAGCTTAGCCTGGACTCTGACCTGACCTATGCCAGCAGACTTCTGCTGACCTCAGCCCCTGCCCACCTCAGCTTTTTGAATATGGTGTTATCTGTTTACATCAAGAAGTTTTCTTCTCCCCAAATAAAGGTAGTAAGAAAATTTAAGATCCTTTTGAGTAAAACAAACAAATACTAAACCTTCTAAAACAGTGGATTTACAAAATAAACACTAGATTCTAGGCACACTTCAAGTAACATGATATTATGTGCATTGAAAAGACATTTTAAATGACTTTAAACTATATGAAAATGATAACAAGCCCTTTACTTTATTTACTTTTAGCTATTTCATAAACACCATAAGAAACTAGACAGTCTGTGAGGCAGTTCAGAAATGTTCTCTTCTTCCTTACATGCTTTCTTTGTAATTTGACCTTGCTCAGGACACATGATGTCTCATAAGCTTTGGTATCTTTTTCTACTACTAGTACAATATTCAGTATTTCATAAATACTTCTGAATAACAAAACACAGGAATAAATACAGTGTTTTAAGCCCTTAATTTGCCAAGGAAGAAGAGAATGTGTTGTAATAGAAGGAGACCATGGAGGATATGTTCTAGACTACATGGTAGCATTTATGCTCATGCCTTGTCTTTACAGTCCTAAGTGTATGATGGGTAAAAGTTCTGTAGCTGTTTTGGCTCCAAGTGGAATGTTTGTGTTTATGCACATGTGTGTACATGGACAGATGCATGTACAAATTCCACACAAACTTTTATTCTCCTTTCTTCTCATGGGTGCGCATACATATTTGTATAGTTGGAAATGATGAAGGATCTGATTTTCTAGATGCCAAACAAGAGTGGCTTCAATGTGGGCTCATGAGCTGTGGTGTTGAGTTCATGTTGGAATGTGTTCCCACGGCAACCAGAGTGCTTCTCCAGATGATCGTTGTATGTCACTCAGCACTCCACTAAGGGACATTGACTGAAGGGAGAAGCTTGGAAGCAACCTATCATCAGTCATGATGTTGCTTCCTAGCTGGCAGAGACCATGTAGACATTGGACCAGAAGGATTCAGAACTGTCGTTAATGCATATTTTCATGTAGATTGAAATTTTCCTCAAAAATGGCCTACTCAAATTTTTTAAAAACCCAAATCAAAACAAAAAACTTTGGAGTATCCCAGTAGAGCTCTAATGCGAAGGGGAAAAAATCAGATTAAAAAAAATTTAATGTGGCCAGTTTGTGGTCTCCTTTTATTACTCAAAGATTTATCACATTCACTGTATAATTAAATCTCTACATCTGTGGGGCACAAATGTTTTATGTTCCCAACATTTATGGTTTGACATCGGAAACATCTGTGCAGGCCCAGTATACAACATCTGGAAGGCATTTCTGAGCTTTTATGACATGCAGAGTGATCTTTGTTTTGGAACAAGTGTGTGGTTTTCTCCAGTAGCTCTTCCTGCTGGTTATGTCCTTCTAATTGGCATTTCGCTGGAGGATTGAAAGAAGCCTGGCTTCCTGACCTCCTGCTGGGTGTATGGAGATGCTTTATAAGCATCTTCCCTGAGTCAAGATTCATAGAGGGAGAAGATGCTGATTCATGGGTTTAGCTGATTTAAATGATGGTTCACTGAACCAGGGAAGCAAGCTGAGAAGAAAGAAAGGAGTTTGTATTACTGTACCAGAACTTTCCTGGATGCTTTTCTTCACATGCAGGCATTGATGACAATGCGGATATCATTGTCCTCAATACCATGGGGGAAACTGGGTCTCAGAGAGGTTTGGCCTCTTAAGGTCACCGAGCTAATTAGCAGATCTGAGATTTAAAGTGAAGATGTTGAACATTGTATTAGAATGTGACATCCTTCTCCAGGAGAGTGGGCAGGGTAGTTGAACACTCAACAAGTATTTGCTGAGTATCTAAGGAAGGTGTTAGGAAGTCTCTCAGCATCTGAGGGTAGATCAGTGGACAAAACAGACAAACACCCCCTGTCCTCATGGAGTTTACATTAATGCATTAGCTTATCTAGTGCAATAGAGTGCCAGGAAAGTGCAGTAGTCATGTGCCTGGCTTATGTAGTGCAATGAAATGATGATAAGCAATAAATACATGTAACAGTGTAGGTAGGAAGTTGATAACAGCTATGAAAAGGCTGGGTATGGACCTAAAGAATATTATGGAGGGATTTATTTTAGTTTGGATTCCCTTCTACAGGGCCCATAATAAGGACTTGGAAATAGGCAGTTTATTGGGAAGTGATCTCAGGAAGCAAAGTAAAGGAGTGGGATGAGAGCCAAACTTGGGGAAAAGGCCAATAAATGGCATGGGAAAGAACTAATTAAGCCCTTTAGACGACTGGGATTTCATGCCCCTAGGAACTGTCTGAAGAGTCATACAGAACACACCTTAGAATGGTTCCATGGCACAATGGAGAGTTGGGCATTTTATCCTGGGTTGATTAAGGATTGCTCCTAACGAGTTTTCACATCCCTAAAACTTCAGGTTGTGACTGCATAGAATGAAATGTCCCCTGTGCTTCAAGGCAGGAAAGCAGAGAGATGCCCGAACACATGCTGAGCACAAGGTACTGCAAATGTTGCCAAAGCATTCAGAGTTGCAGTGGGCTACAGGCACTGCTGTGGTACACCCCAAACAGCCACAACAGGGTTGAGATGTAAAGTAAGGTGTAATTGTAGAACTCTGCCTTGGTGATATTGGAAAAAGACATGAAAGACAAGCTTAGCAGTGATCTGGATATCCTAGACAAAGGTAGAGTCAACTTAGAAACTTCAGTGGGAGAAGATTTGAAAGAACATCAACATTGTAGACAATTCAGAAGCTCTAAATGGGAAAGGATATCAAAGAAAATCAGTGTATTTAAGGGATACTGGGTGACTGGAATGAAGAGGCTTGGGTGAGAGTGATAAAAGATGAGCTCAGGGGGTGGCAAGGGACCAGATCCCATGAGCCTGGTAGACTTCTGTAATGATTTTTGTCTTTTGTTATGAGAGAAAAAGTGAGCCATTGGAGAATTTTGAGCAGAAGAAAGACATAACTTGACTTAGATTGAAACATAATTCTGTCTGCTATATTAAGAAGTCACTCTAAAGGGGACCATGAGAATGGTTCAGACCAGAGTGGTAGCAGTGGAAATGGTGAGAAGTAGATGGATCCAAGGTGTGCTTTGGAGGTAGAGCCAGCAGGACTTCCTGGTAGAGTGAATTATGGGATGAAGGAGGGACGACTGTATGTATTTTGGCAGTAAAATAGAACAGGAAGTGGAATAGCAGACTTGCTATGAAATGAGATGGGAGAGGCAATAGAAGGGACAGAAGGAAGGAGGAAGATCGAGTTCAGATTTGGACATTCCTAGTTTCAGGTAAATATGAGCCTTAAAAACAAGATTCCAAAAAAGAGAGTGGATATGAGTTCAGTGTTCAGTGTGCAGCTTGAGCTGGAGATATAACTGTGGGAAATTATGTATCTCACAGATTATCAGAGAATGCTTCAAAGCCATGAGGATGAATGCAGCACCAGTGGAGGAATGCTAAAGGAGAAGGGAAACACTCCCAGCACTGTGTCCTGGGGTCCTGCAACACATATAAGTCAAAGGGAGCAGTGGAAGTGCGGCCAGTGAACAGGAGGGAAGCCAAGAGAAAACTATCTGTGGAGCCAGACTGGGTGATATTTAATAGGGACTTGGAAGAGAGTGATTGGGGACAGGGACTAAAAACAAAAGCTTTGAAGCATTTTGCTCTAAAGAAGACCTGACAGATGGAGGAAGAGCTAGACAGCAAATGGGTACAAGAAGGGTGTTTTCTTCATTGAGAAATAATAGCAATTTATCTTCTGATGAGAATGATCTAATATTTCTTTCTTTAAGGAGGAAAACTATTGAAGATATAGGACAGAGAAGAGAGAACTGCTGGATCCATATCCTACCAACTGAGATCAAGAAACGGTGGGTATAAATCATTTTTAAATTGGGTGACAAAACCTAAAGAAATTTGCTTTGGTATGTTGGTGCATGCATGTAACACATGCTGATTATTTTCTTCTCCATTATCTTCTTCTTCCATCCCTCCACCCCTCCTCTGATGCCCTTCCCCACCTCTAAAAGTCCACTTTTCACTGGATGAGCCTTTAGGCTGTTTCCACAGCTTCAGGATTGTACATTGTACCATTATGCACACATTGCTACAATATACTCTGTTCAACTTTCCGGCAGTATACCAAGATGTACGATAGCTAGATCAAATGGCACATCTATTTTTAGTGTTTTGAGGAATCTCTATACTGATTTCCATAGTGGTCAGACAAGTTTACATTCCTACAAACAGTGTAGGAAGGTTTCTTTTACCCCGCGTCCTCACCAGTATTCATTCTTTTTGTTTAAAGACAGGCTTCTGCTACACAATTCTAGATGAACTTGAACCCAGTGTGTAGCACTGGCTGGCCTGGACCTCAAGGTGATCCTCCTGTCTGAGCCTCCTGAGTGCTGGGAATACAGGAGAGTGGGCACCACAACATCCCGCTGCTTCTTGATAATAGCTATTTTGACTGGGTAGGATGGAATCTCAGTTTCATTTTGATTTGCATTTTCCTCACTGCAGTGGGATAAACTGAGCAATTAAACCTTGTATAAGAAAAATAGAGTTCATTTTAATACAATGATATGGGTTACAGATTCTGGAAGATTTGGAGTTGCATTGGTGGGAGTTTGTGGAAATACTTCCTGATTACTTCAGTTTTCTCCATGTAGTAGGACACAAGGCCATGGTGTTAAATCTTGAGACGATGGAGGTATAAGATATTTACATGAGAGAGTCAGTGAGGGTGAGACTGAATGAGTGAACTATTGTACGACTGTCAGGAAACAGCACAAAGAGCCTGTCTGAGATACCTGGTCTTTTTCTTTTTTTCTTTAGTAAGGCAGGACCCATAAATCAGTCATCAAAGGATAGCAGAGAAGAGTGAAGTCAATGTTGCTGGTAGGTGAGGATCCCTGCTGCTTATTTCCACAGCGTATGGCTCTCCTACCATTCATCAGATTTTGTGATAGAGAGGAAAGGGTATGTTTTCCTATGTAACTTAATGGCAACGAGAATTGATCGAGCCTACATGTTGATCAATTTGATAATGTCAAATTTCTATAAAATCTGTACTTCTCCATCCCATAATATTACAGCACACAGCTAAAACATCCCTCCCTCAGACCCCCACCTCTGCAGCAGTGCAGGTCCGCTATCAGGAGTGCTCATAGAACTGTCGGCTCCCAGCAGAACTGCTCTCTAGTAATTCCCCTCAGCCAAAGACAGCCTGCTGCAGGTGGGAGCAATCACATCCACTGATGATTCGGTGTAGTCAGTATCATTTAGGACACCTGTGGCATTCCAGAGTCCCCCTGTGAGAGCCACTGAGGCTGTTGTGGTGCGTCCATCACAACTCAGCAACTCTCTCTGTTCAGTTTGACTTCCTTCACTCCTCAGTACCCAAATGTGTTACTTAGCTTCCCTGTCATTGGGACAACACCAGCACTCAAAACTTACAGGAAGAATGGTTTAATTTAGCTCGTGATTTCATGAGGTTTGATCCATGGTAATCTGCTCCACAGCGAAAACACCCTAGCAGAACGTTGTGGAGGAGCAAACCTGCTTAGTTCATAGTGGCTGGGAAAAAGCAGGGTACAGCTCCAGAGAGGAAGGAACAAGGGACCAGAGACAGACCCCAAGGTGATGGCTCCATGACCCACCTAGACATACCCAGACGTGTGCTTTGCTAATCTCCTGGGCAGCTGCCAAGCCAATCAAGTTGGTAATCCACCTTAACCGTCACACCAGCAAGTGAGGATTTTGAAGGTATCCCAACAAGCTTTCTATTTTCAGACCCCTCTCTTAGCTTATGGCCCAGGAAACCCAGCCTAAAACTCTGATGATTCAGAAATTCTACCATAGAAATTCATCAAAAGAATGCAAAGGTTTTGTCAAATCGAAATCACATTGATAACAGGAAAGATTTCTTGAATTATTCACGCTATATTTATATTATAGAGACATGATCTTCTATAGATGCAGCATATTTAAAAACATAGAGAGAGTCCTGTAATATTTGCTGAGTGAAAAATGATAGTCACAAGGCAGTGGGCTCACTAGAATAACATTTAACTGATCTATATGAATGCATTTATGTGAAATATATTTGTACTAGGAGATGTTACAAATAATCACCACAGTTTTTAACATAGTTAACTGTATGTTGCAATTACAGATGATTTAAATAACTGTCCTTTTTATATTGACTGTTTAATTTTTATATGCTAACCAAAAGTTAATTTTACCACAAGACAGTAAAATATTATTTTAATTTGAAAAAAATTGTATTAATTTTTATTACAATTGCTTATTACTCTTCAGAAGAGAAACAGATGTAGTAATTCCCAGAAAAGGCAGATGAAGCTTAGTCACATGCATAACTAGACTGAGCTTGAGGTCCAGACCTCACAGGTGACATTTCAGGACTTTGTGTGGACATATCTGTATTTCCAAATGGTCATGATGCATGGCCTTTTAACGGGTGCTACTCGGCCTATCTCTCTCAGAGATTGTCTCAGAACTACAATTCGGTTGCTGAGACATCTAAGTTTTTGGGGTACTTTAATAATGTCTGAAATAATAAGCAGAATGTTAGAAATTAAGACATTGAAACCGTTGATCTATATAACTTTTGATCACCTTAAATGTAGATATTTCCATTCTTATTGGAAAGACCATTTGAGAGGTGACATTGTGTTGCAACTTTTGATAAAATCCTTGCAGCCATTATCCGCAAACTTCAGGCATGTGTTACCACCTTCATGACTGTGTAGCCTGCAGGATACTAACTCTGTAATCCTTTTCCTTAAGTAGACTCCTGGTAGAAATGCAAGAACTTTTAAAACCTGATTCTAAGCAACAATATTCAAGACAAAACTAACTCACCAGTAATAATCTCGGGCTCACATTAAAATAAGTACATAATTACATAACTATCAAAATAGAAAGTGTCCATGTGCTTTTGAAAAATCAACTCTTGCATTTGTGCCATAGTTTGGGAACACACTGCACTAAGTTGTCAAAATCTGAAAGAAGAGACATTTTAGGGACCTACGGCATCCTGCTGAGCTGGAAGGACTGGAGGAAAGCACTGGAAAACATTTGGCCCAGCCTGTTCTCAGCCTAGGCAAACCCTGACTTCTGCCAGCAATTTATTTGTAAGTCAGTCATGTGGAACAAGAACATATTATATGTTAAATGGATTTTTTATGAGCTGGTGGGAGAAGGTGATCACCAAATAGAAAAGTAAATTTTATGGACTTCTTTCTCTGAGAGGCTAGATGCCACTGCCGACAGGATTTATGCATTTTTGGGGGCTAAAGACAATTTACCAGGGCCTGACACCTAGTTGCTAGTGGTAGAGTTCTCTTGAGTTTAATTGACTAAAACCATTTAAAATTTTCTGTAGTTATATTGGAAACTTCAGAAAGAATGATTCTCCCTTGAAATTGAAGGGAATTCAGAAGCCACACTGGGACAAGGGGAAGGGAGTGAGAGAAAACACTGTATCAAGGAGGACGTGAAGAGGATATTTCTCCTCTGTTGGAGGATTTTTGCCTCACCTCACCTGCTATCCCTAAAACTAGATGTGACAATTAACACAGCTCCCTAGACAAAGCAATCAAATTTTTGATTTGTGGACTCTTGGAAACCTCCCATGGATTCTTATCATTTACTCCAAAATTGATCATTTGGCGTTGATTAAAAAAGCCCAGTATGGAAAAACTTCTTTCCACTTTCTGAGCTGTCTTGTTGGTCTTCTTTCTTATTATAACCTAAAGAATCAACAAAATAAGTTCATTTATTACCCTTCTCACAGACTTCTTATCTTGATCCAGTATGCCAACCCCAATATTTGTATGCATGATTCTAGGAAAATACTGATAGTAATAACTCTCATTAACATATCATAAACAAATACTTTTATACTGGCTATGTGGGAGCTTTCAAAGATGAGAAAAGTTATTCATAGTTTATCTGCGCAAGGGGTACTTGTGTGTGGGCATGGAAGAGTGGTTTACAGAAATTTGGATTCACTATGAGTTCATTTGGTATGGCGTTAGAAATTTATGCAGATCTGAGGAATAACACTTATTACCATATTGAATTCCAAATATTATAGACTGCTCCTTTAAAGGCTCTTAACATTTATGTGCCAGGTGTCCCTCTCACCCCTTGAATCCGAGCTACCCTGCTACCCACTTTCTCTACTAGTGTGTGGGTGAGATGACACTGAAAACCCTAGTCTTCAAAAAGCCTAGAACTTCTGCCTCGGGGAAAGCCAACCGTTGTATACAAAGTCCCAATACCTGAGACCGCCGTGTTGTGAGGAGCTTAAGCCAGCCATACTGAGAGTTCATGTGGAAGAGAACAGAGGCCCTGGTTGACAGACCCAGATGCTCAGAGCTGTTAACCAGCACCGACCACTCAGCAGTGGGAATGGAATTATCTTGGGAATGGATCCACCTGTCAAACCTCCTTGGACGATGCCACATAGCCCTCAGAAGCATGGGGTCCTGCATTGTCACGGCCACTATGATAAGGAAACACTGGCAAGGTGACCTGAAACCATAGAAATTTGTTCTGTCAGGAGTTCCAGAGGCTGCAGTCTCAAGTCAAGGTGTCCTGGTAGTGCCACGCTCCCACTGAAGGCTTCAGTGTAGGATCTTTGCCCATTTCTTCCAGCTTCTGCTGGCCCCATTTATTCCTTGGCAGGTCGCAAACTCCATCCTCTGCTTGTATCTTCACGTGGCCATCTTCTGCCTTGGCTGCCTTCCAAGTTTCTTCTTTTTTTAATGTACTTTTTTAACTTCTTTATTATTAGTATGTTTGCAATATGTAGTAATCACATTCATCTTAGGGTATTGGCATGTAGAAATATCACATTGTAGTCACTTTTACTTCCCCTGCCTTCTAGTACCTCCCATCCCCCCTCTCCAGATCCCCTTCCCATCTCCACAAAGTTTACCTCCTTGTTTCCAAGTTTTTTCTTATAAGGACACCAGCCATTGGATGAGATCCCACCCCAATGACCTCATTTGAACTTTATTACATCTACAAAGACCCTATTTCCAAATAAGGTTACATTCATTGGTTCTAAGGGTTAGGATTTCAACATATCTTTTTGAGGGCACAATTCAATCCATAACAAACTGTCCACATGGAACCCTGCTCTAATGGGAGAATTGTGAGTGAATAAATAGACTGATGTTTTTAGCCACTGAGTTTTGGGTTACTTTGTCCTGAAGCAGTAAATAATGAACGCAAGTTACAGCCATCTGATGCCCTCCACTGCAGAGGAGCTTTCTGTCCCTGGATTGCACACCTCTCTCTCTGTCACATTACTGTTGTTCCCAGACTATTCCCACTGCAGGAAGTGTTGATGTGTACAGTCGTACTCTATTCTCACTTCTAATCACTTCTCATTTCTTCAGTCCCAAGCAAGTGTGCATCAGGAGCCATGCCACTTCTTACTTTCCCCAGTGTGATCTCAAAGTCTTCTTTTCTGCATTCTTGGGTGCCAAGGTTTTCTCTTGCTGGTTCACTCTTATAGATCTCTGCTGGATGTCTGACCCTGTGACAATTATAAACTTCTGGCTGGTCTGTTTTTCCCTTTATTTCTCTAAACTGCTTCCTTCTCTGTGAAGATTTGAAGCTGGGTATTGACTTCCTCCTCCATAGAACTGATTCTCTGGCTAGTGCTGACAATCATGCAAGTGTGATCTGGGCCACAGCATAAGTGCAAATGATATGATTTTTAAAACGCATTCCCAGGATCATTCTCAACCCTCTTGCCTCAATCAGAAGTGGGAAGATAATGAAAGATAGAGGTGGGTGATTGATGGGGGTACAAGGTGGGAAAGAATGAAATCCCGGGGCAGGAGTGAACCTGTGGAACAATGTTAATCTATCGATCTTCTATTTCAGCTTCCCTTCCCTGTCACTCTTTCACATTCAAATCCGAGCTTATGAAATTGCTGAAATATTACTTTGTGTTTCTCCACATCATCTTTTCCTTCAATACCCTATCCCATAACTCACTTTTAAAAATCCCTATTAATGTTCTCACATCCACTCCAACATAAACACATATACACACAGGGATAGCCACAGGTTTACCTGACTTTGTTGATCCAAAGTATTATTACTTGAAGACATTCACCAGTTGAGGGTGGCAATGAGGTATGAGATGATTCCCTAATGTCTTAGGACCAAAAGAGATCAAAGAGGCAAGTGAGCAAGAGTTTGAAGGTAGGTATCTTCTGTGTACTTTATTTCATAACATCCCAGAAGTTCTACCTTTTATGAGTTCAGAGGGGATAATTCCATCATGCAAATAAACAGTTTGATAAACTTTGCAGTACATGGTCAATGCACTAGTGAGGTAGAAACAGGAGTTTTATTTCCAAGAAAATTATATCTGTTCATGTCCAGCTTGCAAGAGAACATTTCCTTTTCAACCTCCTGTATAGTATCTCATATGGTAAGTTGTAAAGTAGAGAAATTGTATTACAAGATGACACCACATTGAGTTTTAAAGATCCATTCATTTATTTGTCCATTCATATAGAGGGAATATATGCACAAGTGCTTTGGATTTGATGCTAGATATCTTAAGTTTGAATCCATGGAGAGGACCTAAGTCAAGGACTGTGTGCAAATCTTTTATTAAGAAAGTTTTCCTAGGATAACCTGGACAAGGAAGTGTGTACTAGAACTTCTTGAGAGGCTCATGGAGGTTGTGGAACTCCCCAGGCCCAGAAATGTCATGTATGTTTTGAAAAGGCCAGGAAAGAAATAAGCTCAAGAAATTTTCATCCAAACTCTGACTCTAGGATTAGATCAGTGCCCTGGAAAGCATTCCCCAAAAGCATTTGAAACAGTTAAATAATAACAAAATTTAAACAAATGCCTGCTGAGGACCTCCTATAAACTGAAAACAGGAAAGCAAAGTTGCACAGCTGGACAATTCTACCTTTGGGAAATTCCTACCTGTGATATCCAAACTGGATTCCTGAATCTATTCAGTAACCACTCCTCTCTAATGGAGGTGCCAATCAACAGTGGGTGGAAACATAAATATGGCCTCTAGTTAATGTGAGAGTCCATCTGTGACTAGTTACAAACAGAAATGAGACACTTTGGAGCCTGAAGCACATAGCAATGAAAAGTCACCTCTCCCTGCTCAAGCCCCTGTTCCTACCAAAATGAGTGTTGATGAAATAATTTGAAATTCCGGCTAAAGGCATAGCATTTGGTGCCTGACTATGGTTCCATATAATTGGCTTATCCAAAGCACTCACATGCTCTGACCTGGTCTTTTGCAAGAAACTTATGTTGGCAGCTAAAAACTATGGATTGAGTGTATAGGAGGACATCTTGAATTGTTGGGAAAACCATTCTGTACTTGTTGGAAAACCATTCATTCATTCAGTCAACAATGTCTGTGGAACCCTTGTTAGCTGACCAGGATTGTTCTGAGACATGGGGGGTCCAGCAATGAGTAGAACAAATATAGTCTCACCTTCATGGAATGTTCATAGTAGAGGAGGGGATACATAAATAGGTGTGACAAATAAGTAATGGTGTTCGTGCGGTTATAACATCATGGAGAAAAATAAACGAGGTAGGTATTGGGATTGCTTTTCTGTACAGGGCGGCCACGGGAGGTGTTGAAGATGAGATGGCGTCTGAGAAGAGCTCAGAAGGAGGTGAGCCATGAGTCCCCAGAAAAGTGTTTGTGTGCGTGCGTGCGTGTGTGTGTGTGTGTGTGTGTGTGTGTGTGCATGCAGGCATATATGTGTGTGTTTGTCTATTTAGATTGTTTGAAAAATAGGCAAGAATGTCTATAGGGAATTGAACAAGGAGGTCATAGTTGTGGGAGCAGACAAGTTATAACAGGGAATCTCAATCTTTACTGGGCATTAAAACCACTTATAAGCTTTAAAACATCCCAGTGTCTAGGTCTTATTCCAGATCAGACTTTCTAGGTCAGGACCAATAATACATCAGTGATTTTTTTTAAAAGACCTCAAGTGATTCCAATGTGTTGCCAGCGCTGAGCACAAATGAGGAGGAACCTGCAGGAGGTATGATGGTCAGTTATGTGTGCAAACCACCTAGGCTGTGGTACCTGATAAAAGGTCAAACGTTACTCTGGATATTTCTATGAAGTGAACACTTAAAGCAGTGAATGTGGAATACAGCAGGTTCTCCTCCATAACGAGTACCTCACTAAATCAGGGGTCACCTGAATAGAGCAAGAGACTGCCCTGCTTCAGAGAAAGGGAATCCGAGCAGAACATAAGCTCTTTCCTGGTTCCCTAGCCTGACAACCTGCCCTGCGCATTTTAAATATGTTGGTTTCCTTAATTAGGGAGCCAATGTTTTTAAATAAAGAAAGCCAATTTCTTTATGCTAGGATGTATCTTTTTGATACAATTTCTCTGGAGAAAACTGATTGATACAGGAATGTTATACACATAACAAATCTCTGGTTGCTGCGCTGAATTTAGACTACTGAGAGGTCAAGGGTCAAAGTGAACAGATCCCTTAGGAGAACATTACAATAGCCCGGGCAACGTTAACCATAGGCTAGATCCACCTAGTAACTGGGAGGTAAGGAGCAACTGTAGCATACTGTATGGTCTCTGAAAGTGGAGTCCCTGTATTTGCTGTTGGACCTATGAGCATTGTGTGACAATTTGTTTTAGAGACCTAGCGCTTCATCAGATTGAATGTGCAGTTAGCCGTTTATTTCATTTGATTTAGACCACGTGAACCCAAGCAGAAAAGCACCGTTAAGTGTTAACAGCCGCATGCAGCCAAACGAAAGTCTTGATCCTTAGAGAATCCTGGCCTCCACCAAACAATTCAAACATTTTCAAACACGCTGGAATAAGCAAGAAACAAAACACTCTTTGACAGATAATTTATTTCCAAACTATATGTATCTTAAGCGTAACTGAACCCAGCTGTTTCTCCTCCCTTTCTGTGCTCCCATCTCTTTGATGAGGCACTGACAGCCTCAGAACACCGCAAGTGCAAGGCTTGCACAGCAGGACAAAATGTTTTGTTATTCACAAGGACTCTGACCTCAGGAGGGCTGGAGTTTTCTTCTATAAATCATCACTCAGATATCCAAGGACCGCCGCATTTGGCAAGGACCCACAGCGGCACCCCCGCTGCAGCAAGGCCACAGCCAGGCCGGCACCCGGGAAACTTCCATCTCAAGGAATCGGACAGCCTGCTCTGTCCCTGCGCTCTGTACCTTCTCCCTTTCAGTCAGGCCCATGCTGTTCAGGCCCAGAAGGCCGCCTGCTGCCTTTCACCTCGGGGTCTTTATGGAGCTTTTCCCTCTGTGTGGTGCAGAATTCCCACCTGCTTCATCTGAATCAAGTCCTGGAACCTGCCTGTGGGGCTCTGCAAATGGCGAGGCAGACCGCGTCCCCTCAACATTGACTTGAAGACTCCCTCCCCGCTGGAGCTTTCATTAAACCTCCTCCAACTTGCTCGTTTTCTTTTATTGGTCTGCATATCACGGACTATGGTCTCAATGTTTGTGTCCCACGAGTTCATATGTTGAACTTTACACGCATAAGAGGAAGCTATGAGGATGTAGGGCTTTGAGAGGCACTTACTTCAGGGTTGGGGGTAGTCCTCAGGTTAGTGTCTTTGTAAGAGACCAAGCAAGGACTCGCCTGACTTCCACCAGAAGTTAGAATGAGAAGGCATCTGCCTATGGGGAAGCAGCCCTCACCAAACAATAAATCCTCCAGCAGCTTGATCTTGGACTTCCCAGTCTCCAGGCCGTGAGAAATACTTTTCTGTACTTTGTAAAACACCCAATTTATGTCTTCTGGATAGCAGCCTGAATAGATTCAGGTAATAGCTTTGAAGATCCATCTTGCGCCATACCCAGCATGTCTGTAAGCATCCTTACAATGTCTGTTTCATCTTCTAGGTTCCAAAGCATCGCAAGACAAGTTAGGTCCCTAGCCTACCTAGTTCACTGCTGTAGGATTTGGGGAATTTGAGAAGGCAACAGTAAAGTTAAGGGAAAAAAATCATTCTTTTCTCTTGCTCTAAGATTTTTAACTATTTGAACTTTTAGATTATTTAAATATAATATTTTGTTTAAAATAAACTCAGTGTAATGGGGCAGTGCACACATCATGCAAGTACAAGCCATGGAAAGACGTCGTGAAGTTAACACAAGAGTAGAACTCAAGGTAAAAACAATTATATGAGGCAAAGGTTTGTCTTCTTAATGAAGTTTATTTTCCACAAGGAAAATGTAAAATCATTTAAAAGTAATTTTCCCTAACACCATTAAGTAGACAACGAAAAAACTGTTAGAAATTGTAAGAACAGTTGGCAGAGTATAGCAACCTTTAAAACATTATGTATCTTTTTTGGTTATTGTCAAATCAAATAGGAGAAGCAAAGGTTAAAAAGAATATAGAAAAAATTTAAACAATGTGGTTAATAAAGTAAATTTAATAGGCTATTAATAAGCAGAATTGTAGGGGACACTGATTCTGGTTGTGAATCAATAAGATTAGAAATAAATACCAAAACACAATAATAATAACCTAGCCATTTGCATATTTTACTGCATTATTTAAACATCTCTTAGAAAAAAGGTAAATATTTATCCTTCAATTTAAATTACATTTGGCAAATAGTAATAATATGAACATTATAAATTAAAGCTTATGTGAAAGAGCTAACACTATAACATTGAAAATAAAATTCATAATCTTAAATGATTCTGAAACTGAAATGGAAACAATATGTATTAATTCAAGACAGGCATGGTGGCACATGCCTGAAATCCCATCACTTGGGAGGCTGAGGCAGGAGGATTGCTGGGAGTTGGAGACCAGCCTAGGCTACAAAGTGAGTTCAAGACCAGCCTGAACTACATAATGATATCCTGTTTCAAAAAAGACCAAAAAGAAAAAGACAAAAAAGACAAAGAACTAAGAAAAGAAAAATAAAAAAGAAAACAAACCACACAAACAAAAAATAAACAGGGGGTGTAGGCACAATGAAATGGACTGAGTAATAAAGAATAATATAACAGTAGAAATTAGTGAATTAAAATTTATAAATATTGCAACTCAAGAGTAAATAGTCTAACTTGTATGATAAAGAACACTCAAAAATACAACTGTAGACATCAGAAAGTATGTCCAATCCCAGATATGAAGTAGATATGATATCATAAAAATGAAGCCCAAAGCTAATAAATTTGAAAACCCTAGAAACATATAAATTAGAAAAGTTTACTAAAGTAGGAAACCTGGAATAAATACTTAAATAAGAGGAATACTGAAAAATGTCAAGAGATTACCAGAACAGGTGTGTCTATTTTAGACATCCTTAGAGGATAATTCATTCAAACTTTCAAGGTACAGATAATCCCTATAATGTAAAAACTCATTCCCATTCTATTATTTTTCTAACTAATTGAATGTTAGGACAATACTCAATTTGTTAATTATCAAAATTAAGGCAATCATAATAAATATACTTAACTATAAAAAATAAGGATTCAAAGAGGTATCTAAAAATACCAGAATTGGAACAACCTGTAATAATATGGTTAATTTTTAAGAAAATATATAAACTCAATACTATTATAATGAAACAACTATAATTTGAAAATGTAATGAGGAAAAAGTTCTATTCACATGGGTAGCCCAAAAAAGCACAATAAAAATGGTGCAAGATGCACCAAGTTATAAGCAAACATATAAATAAATAGACTAGGACTAGGATGAAGTTGACATAATTCTGATTGTGGAAAATATGAAGTACATGGGCAGTGTGAAGCTTCATTTATAATTTTCCTGTGAAGTATATTTTTGCCTTTTGAGTAAACTCTGGTAGATGTGACCAAATAGTTTTCATGAGTTTCAATGGGTGGGAGTATTTATTCTCATGCAATTCTGTATCTTATATTCAGTTTTCTACTAAAATCTAATGAGCAAATACAATTCCTATGTTTAATTTGTATTGTTAGTGGATTTGCTTCCATATTCTGGAGAGATCTCTTCCCTTGCCCAAATGGTGACTCACATAAATTAAATACACGAAGATTCACGGACTAATGATTAGGTCACCAAGGAGGCATGAAGGACCTCCCAAGAGGCCAGAGCAAACAAGCTTCTCCACCACTAGTTTAGCACTTGGGGCAGGAAAAGAGGACATGCGATTAGACATAACACATCTCTGACAAATCTCAGGGTGACTCTCCATTCCCAGGGATCTGAGTTTTAAATAAAACCCATGACATAAGCAATTGCCAAATAGCAGCTGCTTCCTGGGATTAGGCTCTTACAGTTTCTGCCTTATCATCTGCTGGAGATTGAGAATACTCTTCCACCCTAGAATGTGGTCCAGAGCAGGGGCTCTAATGTCAGTTGCAACAGGAGGTTCTTGGAATTTCCAACATACTCCCCAGAGGCTCGAAAATGCTGTGCCAATCACTGGAAATATGAGTAAGGAATGTAGGTGGGTCCTTCAGTGCTGGATGAAAGAATTTCACACACAATCCCCATTTGTAGGTCTTCACACATTCTTACCTGCATTCATCTCCATCTTTTGTTTCAGAGGTGGAATTTTTCATTGTCTTTTCTAAGTTCAGGTGAGGATAGCACTGCACGCAGTGTTCAGGTCCTTCAAGAATCCTATCTGTATCATTTGTAAAATAAACTTTTATTGAGTGCTTTTTATGTTCAGGGGAAGGGGCTAGGAGCCATGTTACAGAAAAACCAAAGACCGTTTCTGCTAGGGAGTGAGTGGCAATTTCAGTTGGGTAAAAAAACAATATCAAAGTAAAACATTAAGGGCAAGAGCTAGGTAAGTGTGAAGGCCACAATGTTAAAGTTCTTCTGGTGTGGAAGGTGTGATCTGTTAGGGCTCAGGAAAGCAAAATGGGGAGGGAACAGAGCTCCTCCAATGATGAGAACAGCTGAGTTCATATCAGAAAAACCAGTGTGACAAGCTTCTCCAGGAGAATCAACAGCACACCATCTTTCCCTCCAGTTCTCCTTGTATGCTGATGGCAACAATGCTCAGGTGGGCCTTCCACACCCAGAACCATGCGGACTCAGTTCAGCTGGGTGTTACAAGTTAATCATTGGTTAACCCACCACATCATTCACCTGTTGATGGGCATAGGCTGTTTCCAAGATCTGGTTATTAAGAGTTGTGCTGCTATGAACATGGATGTGCACCTATCACTATAATATGGTGACTTTAACTTCAGAAAGAGATAGATCTTGAAAGATGAATTGAAATTCTATGGTAGTATGGATGAAGAGGAAGCTATTTGAAAAAAGGGAAAGTAATGTAAATATTTACTTGACTTGGTCAAAAAGCATTTGGAGGGTATGGACCATTAGTGAGAAAATCATGGCGAGGCTAGCCTGAGTTTTAAGCTGAGGAAGCTCATGATGGTAACACAGAGTAAATATATTAAACCGTGTCCTCATTCTCCAGTACCTTCTTTTGACTTGCTATTCAAAATATGGTCCATGGACCAGTAACATTATCATCCCTTAAGAGTTTGTGCACATACAGAATCTCAGGCTTTACCCCAAACTTTCTGAAACAGAGTATGTACTTTCACAATATTCCCAGATAACTTGTGTGCACATTAAAGTTGTGTGGTAATTGAAACCCTAAGTCTGAAATGTAACTAACAACTAGACTCTGAGTCCTTACCTGAGCCTTTATTTCTGCAGCCCCTCCCAGCTTCCCTCCTAGAGATAGTGCATCAGAACTTCTCACCCTTCTGTGAGCACAAG